ATTTCCTTATCATGATTGGCTGTTTCAATAAATCCAAAATTATCTTTCAGAGTTGCCACATAACCCAAGAGCCTCTTGGAATTGGAATTACGACCTAAAAGTCGCACACAGGTTGCAACTTGCTGCCCAGGCCTCTGTTTGTCACTAATACTAAATTCAACCTGTGAAAAGTAAGGATGATCATCAACACTTTATTACTTTCACAGGTTCCTTAACACTGAAAATGAGATAAACCTCCTCCATACTATGCTATTTTTTTGTAATTATTTTTATAGAATAAATTCTCACAAAAACATTTCTAATTCCATTTTGTGGAATTTCTTTAAAAAAGGTAATCTGAAAACCACACTACTATATAGTAGGAATGAGAAAAAGATGAACAGCAATGTAAAATCTTTATTATGATTTTACTTTGATAATATTTAATAACTGTTTCAACTTTCTTACCAATATTATCAATCTTATCTAAGCTGGTGGATTTAAGCATGTCCTATCTAGTGCTTAAATTTGATTCCTCCAAAAGCTCTAACAAAGAGCTTGCTAGACCGTTTTTTTAACTTATGACCACACATACTTCCTACCCACCTCATCTTGTTGCTAGACTGTTTTAAATGTATGAGCTGCTTTTAAATAAGAAGATGATCATATATTTAACCTTTCAAGTGCAAAAAGAATAAAAACTTAAGTAAAACATAAAAAAAACCATTCTACAGACTTTTTGATTAAGATGACCATCTTTAACCTTCTTCTAATAAGGAGAATTTATCTTGCCTTATCTCCTATCTGAGGAGAAGTAGAACCTTCCACATCCTTGGCTTGAAAAGCAATAGTCAGTTTCACTCCACAATCATCATAAGCAATAATGCCATCCTCAGCTTCCTAAAAAACAGAATACAATGAAAACAGCCTCAAGAACAAAACAAGCAATGCAACAGAAATAGCAATACAAGCAACTATTCTTAGAGATGCTTGAGCCAAAAAACTAGCAGAGCCACAGAACTTTATTTCTAAGCAAGTGAAAATTTTGTACAGAAGCCAAAATATCTTCTATTATCCTATGCAGTACTCCACACAGTGTTTGGGACAAAATGTCAATAATCACATTTACCAGTGTATGAGATGTTTATAGAATCTTGCACAGTTCATAGTGCTTGGCATAAGCAGATGATGAAGTTATGATATTATCAATAGTTCTAGAATGACATTTACCTTACTGAATATTTACAATATACCAGGCATTTTGTAATATCAAATTTGTTACTGCAAAATCACCTCCACAGTTACTCTTTCCCTCACCTCACATATTGCAAGTCTTAGAAAATTAAAAAAACTTAGCTAAGGTACAACAGCTAATCCAACAGCTCCACAGTAGCTTTTCAATTTATTTAAATTTTTTGTTTTTCTGAAACAAGAGACTTGATATATAGTCCAGGTTGATCTTGAACTCACCATGGAGCCAAGGCTGCCCTCAAACTCATGATGATCCTCCTACCTCAGCCTCCCAAGTGCTGGGGTTACAAGTGTGCACCACCATGCCCAGCTTTCTTTCCACAGTAGCTTTTAAAAAATTGTAAGATTTTTGGGTGTGGGGCCCCGTGATGTAGCTCAGTGGTTCCTGTGCCTGCCATGCAAATTCAAGGTCCCTAGTTAGATCCCCAGTACCAAAAGAAAAAAAATAGATTGCTGGGTGTGGTGGCATATTCCTGTAATCTCAGCACTGTGGAGGCTGAGGCAGAAGGATCACTACAAACTAGAGGTCAGCCTAGGATAGTGAGCTCCAGAGTCTGAAGCACATAGCAAGACCCTGTCTCAAAACCCAAAAATTACAGGACATTCCAACATTTCTGTCATGTACCCTACCCTATATCCATTATGTCTATCCCTAGTTCAAGAGCTACATTAAGTAATTTCCTACAAATCATCTTCACTTATCTTTTCCCATCCCTATCTAGGCTTCACACTAATTTCATCAGCTTCCCAAGTCACATATACCTGATAGTACTTTTCTTTTTGTTTTCTGATACAGGGTCTCACTATTATGTAGCCCAGGATGGCCTTGAACTCATGGCATTCCTCCTGCCTCAGCTTCCCAAGTGCTGAGATTAGAGGCATGTGCCACTATGCCTGGCTGATAGTCTTTTCAATAGAAATCTTTTCCTTGGAGTACAAAACAATGTCTAAATTATTTAGCGTAGCCATCAACATCCTCTCAATCTAGCCATACCTTGATTATTCATTTTCGTTTTCTCTGTCTCCCATCATCCAAAACAAAAAACAGACCATCTTGCTTTCAAACTATCTACTGCTTTCTAAAGAAACCTAGATGTTTTCTCAGTATACTTTTTTTCTGAGAAAGGATTTATCTCCGCAAATTAAACATCAATATCTTAGTGGAACTATCCCAGATCCTGCCTGTTAGAATTAATTTTTCCAAGAGTGCTTTTATTGACCTGGGGGTGGTGGTGGTGGTAGTGTTTCACTGGGGATTGAATGCAGGGAATGCTAAATTTTACCCCTGGCCCTTTTTCCAATAGGTCTAAACTGCCTGGCTAATCTCAAACTTGCTATCCTCCTGTTTCAGCATCCAAAGCATCTGGGATTACAGGCACATGCCACTGTGCCCAAGTTCCAACTGATTTTTTTTTTTTAACCTACTGGGGATTGAACCTGGGACCTCATGCATGCTAGGTAAGCAATTTACCACTAAACTACATTTGCACTCCTACTCCTTTTTGAGATGCCCAAGGTAGCTTTGAATTTGCAATCATCCTACTTCAGTCACCTAAGTAGCTGGGATTATAGGCATGTGCTTTACTCACTTTTTTTTTTTAGATTTTTTGAAACAGGACCTTACTATATAGTCCACGCTGGTCTTGAATTCACTATGTAGTCCAAACTAGCCTGAAACTTGTGGCATTTCTGCCTCAGCCTCCTGACTGCTGGGATTACAAGCATACACCACTACAACCAGCTTTTTTTTTCTTTCCCGGAACTGGGAATTGAACTCAGAACTTTGTGCTTGCCAGGCAGGTGCGGTACTGCTAAGCTACATGCCCAGCCCTGTCTTACTGATTATTTTTTTTTTTGGAGCCAGGGATTGAACTCAAGACCTTGTGCTTGTGAGCCAGGCACGGTGCCACCAAGCTAAATCCCCAGCCCCTTACTGACTTTTAATGGCAATATTTTCTGTATGAATTACTTATTTTGTCTTATTTACTAGAGAAGCTATCTTAAACATCTTTGTATTTCCTAGTCAACAGATTTTTCCAATAAACTGGAATTCAAATATATGAATGGAATCAATCTAATCTTGAAAATTCTAAATTATTTAGAAGACATTATTAATATTCTTGAAGAGTTGTTTTCAATTGGAGGTGATTTTGCCTCCCAAAGGATATCTGACAAAATCTGGAGAAACTTCTAGCTATCACACTGGGAAGAGGCAGGGATACTGGTTTCTACTGGGGAGAGACTGGGTGCTATTAAACAGCCTACTCTTCATGACAAAGAATTATCATACCAAAATGTCAACTTTAAGAAACTTTACTTCCCTATTACAATGCTCCATTATAGGAAATCCATTATGATATGCCTGTAAGAATACCAGAACAGAGAGCTACAAAAATCATGTAAAACTTACCTTCTCCTTGGCTTTGTTAGGGCTAGTGGTTTTAGGATTGGAAAAAGTGGCTTCTTTTTCTACAGTGCCCAGAAAACGATGATCTGAATGAGAATGGAATGAAACTGTGCCCTTGGGAAGTTTTTTAATCCTAATAGCATGATTTCTTTGGGCAGAGAGCATATCCTACAAATGATTAAACAAAATTAACTTTAGAACTGACATGAAACACTAGAAGACCACCTCTGAAATACTCTTCCCAAATGCTACTCACAGGAACCACAGTAAACTCTACTTCATCTGCAATATGAAGCTGGTTCCCATCCAGAATTTCACTGAAGTGGAAGAACATACGAGCATCCCGATCCACACACTTGATGAAACCAAACCCATCTCTCATGGCAGCGATTACACCCTGAAACCCAAGTAATATTTTCACTAGCTGTGGAGATGGTTAAGTAAGGCAATATTCAAGTTTGACAGACAGCATCATCAACTCACTAGGAATTCTTCTCTACAAATAACCCAAATATAATCCATATTTTATTTTTTTCCACTTAAATACTATCATTGCTTTCAATAAAGTAATACCACCTCAGTAATTTCCCAAGCAAGACTCACCAGATACTACTCCTTGGCAAATATTTATTATAAAAAGTTATCATACTTGAACATAAACACATACACACATGTATTTCACAAAAGCCCAAGCCTACTGACAGTATAATTCCCAAAGACTTCAAAAATTCACCAATCAAAACTTCACAACTCGGTTACATGGGGCAACTCTTGTATGAGTTTAAGCACAGGAAAAACTGAGTTAGGTCTAAAAAGGAAAATAGAAAACCCTTTTTGTGTTTTTTTCCTTTTTACTAAAATTATTAGCTCTGAGAGGGTATTATATCTGTAGTACCTGGAACAGTGCAGGGACTCAAATTTTACTGAATCAACCCAAATTATTATCAACACTGCAATAGAGTACATATTCCATATTTACTACTGCAGAGGTGATTATTCTACCAGTAAGACCTAAACAGTCTTCTGGCATTTAATCCTTGCCAAATCCTGTGGTGACTAAGTTACATACTTGCTACTATAAAGGAAAACATCCTGCCTGAGAAGGCTGTTTTCTTTAAGTCACAAGTTCAAACCTTCAAATTAAGATAGAAGTACACACTTTACGTGTTAAATACGATCAGTCCTCCAAAAATCAAAGGTTTAGAAGTGTCAAGAAATTTTAAATTTCACTGAATGTACCTGGTTTCAATGATAATTCAGATGTACTGTAGATGGAATGAACCCAAACGGAACTAAACATAAAGTATGCCTGAGAAAGTCAGCTCACAAAAACTAAGTTAATTCTGGCACATGTTACTCCTGGACATACCCATTATCTTAGGAAACAGTTTTAGAAAATCTACTTGCTACAATAATGGGCATGAATGTACTCACTTTTCATATTTAAGGGTCAGAAAATCAGACTCAAAATACCTAAATCATCCCATCCAGATTTTCATTCTAAAACTTTCCCACATATATTTCTAAGATAAACAGCAGAGGCAAATGTTACCCTAGACTTGTTCAAATGTCTGTGGTTCTTAATTACCTTAACAAGGTAACTTCCCAATATGGTTATTAACTTATAAGAATTCTAATTTAGCAGTACAAACTTGAACATAACACTGCTCCCTCCACGTTATATATTTTTCTAATAATACTGAACACTTACCATTTCTCTGGCTTCATTAGTGAACTGAAATGTATTTGATAGAACTTCTATGTTGGTTGCTCGTTCTAATTTGTCACGTCGGTCTGTTGAAATATTAAATCTAACATGGTCACCTTCCAGCAGGGTCACCTTGGATTTTGTATCTTTATCTCCAAAAGGAAGTTCTTTAGGAATCACAAAATCAACCTTGATTCGTCCTGGCAGTGGGTCATTCTGGAAGGAAAAATTAATTTAGGTGGAGATTTCTCATTCTTCCTCGTTCTAAGCCAAACAACCACAACGTTGCAGTTTAAGACCCCACACTCTCATATTAAGAGATTTTACTTAAGAACATTTGCAGTCTTTTGTTTGTTTTTTGGTACCCGGGATCAAACTCAGGACCTTGTTCTTGCGAGGCAGGTGGTGGCACCACTGAACCCTGCCCCATTTGTAGCCTTAGTTCACATTTCTTCAGCAATGATGTCACCCTTCTTAATTCTCCCACCAAACAAACAAAAAACCACAAAACAAAAAACCAACAACAACCAAAAAAACAAAACAGGAAAGGGATTGAAGAGGAGAAAACAAATGTACATCAAACTGCAGTGTGGTAAGATTTTTTCCAATTTAAGCAGCATTTCTTCTGGCCTATGCTCATCACTCAGTGAAAAAAAATACCTATTTACAGATAAATTAATCATTAGTTTCTTACTTGGTTTAATTATACGTGCCAAGAAATGCTTATGTTCCACTCTCAAATAATTGTTACTCATATGGAACACAACTCCAGTATACCATACCATATCATTCTACTTCTGAGGCAAAAGAGAATACTCTTGGAAAAGACAACTTACCTGGTTTTTACTGGGTACTTTTGGGATAACTTTGGTTACAGTTCCCTCAAAATGTTCAATGCTGATATCTTCAAAAATGACTGTTCCTTGAGGCAATAATCTGACATCTGTTGCAACTTCTTTACCCTATGAGAAGGGGTTCAGGCACATAATTTTAAATGTTTCACAAAAATGTAATCCCCTATCAAAAGGCCAGAGACCAAGTGAGTTTACTATCTTACATTTCTGTCCTTGATTGTGAATTCCACATCATCTCCAGGTTGCAAGGTTTCCAGGTCACCTTTAAACTCACTGTAGTGGAAGAATATCTCTTTTACCACATCGCCTCTTTCAATAAAGCCAAATGCCTCCTAAAGCAAAGGAAATAAAAACCAAACAGAAAACCCGAGAATATTACCACCACTTGGTATGAATTTATAATCACAACTTAAAACAAATAAGCCCTTACATAAAATTATACTTGCTAAAATAACACAATTTGGGCTAGGGATTTAGCTCAGTGGTGCCACCACCTGCCTGGCAAGTGCAAGGCCCTGAGATCAATCTCCGGTATGGCAAAAAATAACACAATTTGGTAAAGTCTAATATTATCAATGAGAGACCCCTCCCTTTTTCCTTCTTTGAGACAGGGTCTCACTAATCCAGGCTGGCCTTGAACTCAGCAATCCTCCTGCCTCAGCCTACTGAGTGCAGGATTATAGGCATGCATCACCACGCCAAGCTCAAGACACCCATTTTCAAGAACACAACTGAATTAGCAACCAAGGAATTTTAAGAGATTTGTTCCAAGGTGAATGGTGAAATATTTTTTAAAGCAAAAGACAGGGGTGAAATAACTGCCTTGGATTAGAAGTACATAAAATGTAAAGTAGTCAAAAACTTAAGATTTCAAATTTGCTGACGCTTACCTTCATGGCACAAACTACCCCCTGACAGCGGGCTTGTTTCTTTTTCAACAGCATAATGTTACGAGCACTTACAGCACCAGTACTAGAAAGGAGTGATGGAACGGAAATAAAACGGGTTAAAATGTGTTGGTTTAGATTAAGTCTAGAAAAACTAATTTTTTGAGGCTTCAAAAATTATGACATCACTAAGAACAAATGTAATTATTTGACATGATTCTTTTCATGAAGCTTCACATGCAAAGGACTTGCTCAAGCTCCCTAATCTTCTAAACTTAGTATTATTTTTCTCTTGGACTAGTGATTGTTTTTTATTTTTTACAAAATTACACTTGCACACATGATGTTCTACTCTTGCTTTCCTAGCCCAACAAAAGAAATGAAATAGACACAAATCGAATGCTGTTGGAAACACTAACATTTTAAGAGACGTTATTGAACAAAACATTTGAATAAGTACAGTATTATGTGTCGTAAACTAAGGTACTAGGGATAAAGATGAACTTTAAGAGATGGTCTGTTATCAACAAGTGGTAAATTTAGTAGCTATCTGATTGTTTTTAATTAAACAGCCACAAAAGAAAATGGAGTAAATGAAGCACTTTCAAATTCTAGCAAAATTTCCTATGCTTTAAAAAATGATATCCAACCCCACTGGAGAAGTGAAACCAGTTAGAGCTATCACATGTTGCTCTACTGCCCTCATCTTTGAAGAGCTGCAATGTAAATTTGATTTTGTTTTAAAGATACCACAGACTATAACACACAATAGTATCGCTGATGTACTGATTTTAAGAGCTTTAGACCTAGAAACTATGTGTCTTTGCAACTTACTGTAGTGATTTAAAAGCTACATGAATTTAACCAAGTAAATGAGAATTTATACTTCATTTTACAGATAAAGAAACTTACCAGATAAGGCTATCATGAGGATTAAGAATTATATATAAAAGTGTTTAATAGAAATGTTTGGCACATAACAAGAACGTAATAAAGGTTAAATAAAGCCTTTCCAGTGGCTCCCTCCTCAAACTAAAGCTTTATCCATTTTTCAGACTTGTGATTATATTGAGGGCCTTAGCCTAGAACTAGGACTGTTTGTACCCACAACTCAATCTGATTCCTTCCAGCCTTGCAAGAGGTATGATTCAAGGCAGATAATTCTGTACATATTCTTGAAATTCCCTTTCCAAAAGTGCATCCTAGCACTTTCTCCAATTTTCTGTTTTTAAGTTCCTTCTCTGCCTGCATCTCGTTTCTAATCCTAAAATAAAAACAATTACTCCTGGGGCTTAACTGTATTTCCTTAAATGCTTATACAAATGAATTCCATAGGTATGTTTCCCGACCATTACTAGCTTCTAAGTTTTTGTTTTTGCTTTTTTTGAGGGAGGATCACAAATCGAATTCAGGGCCTTGTGCTCTCCAGGCAGGTATGGCACCACTGAGCTACATCCCCAGCCCTTACTAGCTTCTAAGTTTCAGTGCTATAAGTATAACTGTATATCTGATATGTGCATGCAGATATATCACAAATACATCAAACTCTGACTGCCAAAATAAGTGTAATTCTCCCAGCCTGAGTATTTTTTCCTGTATTTTACTAGTTCGTCATCTGGCCAGCAGGCCAAGCCAATCGAAAAAAAAAAAAAAAAAAAAAAGCATTTGAGACTCTTCTCAATTCTAATTTTCACTTCTCCATCCCTCGATCCCTGGTACCACAAAAAATAACACAATTTGCTAAAGTCTAATGTTAGAGACCCCCCCCCCCTTTTGAGACAGGGTCTCACTATCTAATTCAGGCTGGCCTTGAACTCCTGCCTGGTCTGTTTTCATCTTTCATGTTAACTCTCACATCATTACCTCTAGCCTAGAGGATCCCTACTCTCTAAAGCCTACCATTTCCATCCTTCTAAAAATCTAAAGCAGTTAAAAACAAAGCAAAACAAAACACTAAAGCAGTTATACCCTCCCAGCTTGAAATATGTCAAAGATTCCTGATCATGGCTTAAAGCTCAAACTTCCTATAATCCAATCAATTCAATGTGAGTTAAAAGTTTTTAATTTTTTTTTTTAAATTTAAACTGAGTTAAATTTTGAGTTAACTTTCAGCCATTCCCCAAACATACCATGGTACTTCCTCTACCCACAACGCCTTTCTAATCTCCCTAATGCCTTCACACTATTCCCTCAAAACTTAACCTCAAGTTGGGCTGGGGATTTAGCTCAGTGGTTCCACTGCCTGCCTTGCAAGCGCAAGGATCAAAGTTTGATCCCCTGCACCAAAAAAAACAAAAAACAAAAAACTTCAAGCAATGCTTCTTTTTCAAATTCTTCACTGACCTCTATAACAGGTATCTGAAAACTCTCATCATGTTTTAATCTTATTCTAACACCTTATACAGTACCTGTCACAGAATATTCAGAGACTCTCATGACTAAAAGGTCATGAAAATGATACAGGTTTACACGTTGGGCTTTTAATTCATTTAAATTTCTTTCTTTCATTTTTTGCAGTGCTGATGATCAAATCCAAGGCCTTGCAAATGCCAGGCAAGCCTCTACCAGAGCTAAACTCCCGGTTCCACTTTATGTTTTTTGGTACCGGGGATGGAACTCTGGTCCTTGTGCTTGGGAGGCAGGTAGCAGAACCACTGAGCTAAATCCCTGGCCTTTACTTTAAATAGGGTCAATTCTCATCATCCTAGCCCAGCCTCCCGAGTACTGGGATTACATGTGTACCATCATGCCTGGCTTGCTGCACTCTTAATGTAAAAACAACAAAGCACTACTTAGGTGGGAACATTTTGAAAAGAACTTACTGTTTATTGTTATCAATTACAAAATTTATTTTATCTCCGGTTTCCAGCTGAACATTCCCTTCAACATCTTCAGGGGTGTAAGTCAGGTAAAACACTTCCTGTGAATTAATAAATTATTATTATTATCTTGGCAAGAGGCATATTCATCGTACAGTGTGATTTACTTACTTAAATACTTCTTACACTGGCATTTTAAAGCCAAATTTCTTAAAATTATATGCTTTATGACAAGTAAGTTGTTTTACTCAAATATATACACTTCCCCCTCCATAGTGCTGATGACTTCTGGGAGTCCACAGCTGAGCAGCAATCCAACTTCAAAAAGCTTACACGCAGAAGCATTTGCCCAGAAACTAGTTACATTTCAAAAAAACAATTTTTATGTAAGGCATTCCAAACAAAAAAGCTGCAGTTAGTACTTAAAATGAACCAGAAAAAAGCCCCCCCACAACCCCCCAAAAAGTGATTAAAAGGAGTATTTTACCTTAATGTTCTAACTAAGGTCACACGTGGGCAAGCTAAGACACTTGGAAGTCCTATCAATTTTTTTCCTTTTTAAATTTTTTGATTATGCTGCACTTGAAGCCTCTTAGAAACCAAATTTACAACTGATTTTAGCAACTAGCTTACGTTTTCTACTTTGAAGTTTTAAGTACGCTTATAGATCACATGGTGGATCAGGCAAAGGTTTAAGAAAAATACACAAGTTTACCCCATTACGTTCGTAGCATACACTCCCTGTTGGACTCTGACCGGGGGCAGCTGGAGATTTACTCTCTAAGTTGTGAGGAACAGCGCACACAACCTACCAGTCAAAAAAAAAAAAATTTCCATTGCTAATCATTTCAGGAGCAGCACTGTGCAATATAAACTGAATTTTAATATCCTCTATACTATACATAGGGATGCATTTTAATATGATCCACAAGAGGATGTCATGCTGCCAAGTCTCAAACTTACAGTATGCAAACTGACTGTAAGTTATCAATGTAGGGTTATATATAAAACCCAAATTGAGTCTTGACCGTTATTTTATTTCAGGTCAAGAAATGCCAGTGCTTCTGATATAATTTTAAAATAGTGTTCTTTATATACTACAGCTCTCTTACGTGCAAACTGAGGAGATGGGGGAGAATCTTCCTTTTCTAATGTGAAAGATATGCAAATGCAGGGCCCTAAGAAAATACAAAGCATCAAAGTTACTAACTTGTCCATTCATTCGTTCTTCAGGGTGGATTTCTGGTTTTATCTTCACTAGTTTAATAGCAATTGGTTTGCCAGTCCGCCGGTCAGATGAAACTTCGAATTCAACATCATCTAAAAAGAAGAATGTGTTATTTTTGTTGGGACTCATGTTTGAAAAACAGAACCTCACTTTGGAGCTCTGCTTAAGGACACACTGATGCTGGCCTCAAACCAGCAGTGTTCAGTGCAGTCCCCCGGCCAGCAGCAGCACAGCGCCAGGGAGCTGACCAGAGGCCACACTCTGCCACCACCTGAAGACCTAGGCAGACAGATGCTGGTGAGAAAGCACAGCACCTGTGCTTCTACAGAGCGTTCAGGATCTCCTGACACACACTGCCCTTTCACAACCACTGCGTGGTATAGCATTAAATCTTTTGTTTTCACAGCATTTACACAGAGTATAAACAAAGCAAAAAAAGATCCTAACCATTCTTTTAACCTCTTGTACTGAAGCTCCTTTTCTGTGAAATGAGAATGATTCCTAACAAACAAGACTACTATGAGGATAAACCAAAATAATGCTCAATAGTGTGTACCTAGAGCATCTGGTATACCAAATACAGTATACCTGTTAAGTCACTGTTCTGACTCCTAAGAACTGTTCTTAAAAAACAGGCATATCTCGTATCTTTACTTTAGGTTTTTTGAGACAAGGCTATGTAGCCCAGGCTGTCCTCAAACTCGCAGTGATCCTATCTCAGCCTCCTGAGCCCTGGGATAACAGGCATGTATCACCATGCCTGGCAACTTCAGTCCTTTAACTCTTCCAGCATCTACTGTAAAAATATTCTGATATCTGTTATTCAACTATGCTTTCATCCCTCAAGAAGACACCACCATGATAGAAATCAGGATTCCACATACTTCAGTAATTGATACAGCTAAAATGTCAAAATTTTAATCCCCTTTTTGGACTTAGGTGTTTTCTGAAAGTATTCTCGTGAACAAGGTGACAGGCAAGAGAAATCTAGGGACAGGAATGTAGCTCAGCAGCACAGAGCCTGCCAGGCAAGGTCAAGGCCCCAAGTTCAGTCCTCAATACCAAAAAAAAAAAAATAGGGAGAAATTTAAAAGAACTGACAGATTACCTCCTACTTTTAAGTCCTGCAGGTTGCCATTGTATTGTGAACAGTGGAAGAAAAGTCTAGCTTGACGTTCTGAACACTGAATAAATCCATAAGAGGTTAACAGTTTTTCAATAACCCCAGTTTCACGAAGCGCTGCTGAAGTACCATTGGGGTACCCATTATGTCCATTGTTGTGGAGAAGGTTTGGATCAAAGCTCATCTGTTTTAAAAAGAAAAAGAACTCAACGTATACAGATCTATATTATTTCCACAACATATTACATCTGATTACAAATCACAATCTTCAATATAAAAAGGCAAAGAAAGGTAAAATACATAGAGAAAATTATGTGCTTTATTAGATATTAATTTACCTAATAAAACATCTCAAAGGGAACAATCTAAATTATTTTAGCAAACTATATCCTCATTAATGGCAGAATTTCCACTTACCAGACAAAAAGAATTTCTAAAGTTTATTATTATTACTATTTTTGTTGAGACAGTCTTGCCACTTAGTACAGACTGGCCTCAAACTCATGGTGATCCTCCTGCCTCAGCCTCCTGAGTGCTGGGATTACAGGCATGGGCCATCATGCCCGGCATTGAAGTTGCTAAGGTAAAGCAACTATATTAATAAAAGCTGAATTAGGTTAACTTTATTTTTTTGTTTGTTTTGGAGGCAAAGTCTTGTTATACTTCAAGCTGGCCTTGAACTCTCTATGTAGTCCAGGCTGGTCTCAAACCAATTTCTTGTCTCAGCCTCCCAAGTGCTGGAATTACAGGTGTGTGCCACCACACCCGGCTAGGTTAACTTTGAATTACTACAACAACAATTTTAGAACTAAGTTACTAATATTCAAAAGATGGCAATCCAAGACTACCAATACATTTTCTTAAGATATTTGTTAACAACTACTTTGGAACTAACACAGACATCTTAATACTATTTGGCTCACCATGCATGCTGGAGGCATATTTAAAGTTAGTAGGGGGACCAGGGATTTAGCTCAGTGGCCCTGTGCTTGCCTGGCAAGAGCAAGGTCCTGAGTTTGACCCCCAGTACCGAAAAAAATAAAATTAAAATAAAGTTAGTAGGGATTAACACCATAAAATAAAGTATCTATGCCATACTTCACACCAGAAAGTTTTAGAGTAATACATGTTTAGGTCCTTTGAAAGGCAATCCAAAAAAATTAGTTAAAAAATTTCTAAGACAACATTCCAGAACAGCAAAAGCTCTTCAATTCTAATAATGTTCAATCACTGCAGATACATTAAAAGACACTGATAAAATCTCTATGTTCTTATGATCAATTACTATGATCAGATAAAGTAAAACTAAAGAAAAAAGCATTAAATATAGTGCAATGGAATATATCAAAATTGTAGAAAGATAAGCCAAAGTATGAGTAGTTAAAATAGCACATGAGATGGATGAAAATGCAAACCAAGTCCACTGCACTTAAAAGTGGTTAGTCCTAATTCCTTCATGCTAGCCACTGTTATTTTTGACATATATTAAATCAATTTTCACAAAAGCCCATGAAAAAGTAGTATTATTGTAGAACTTCCATTTTACCAAAGGGGAGACAGAGTACAAAGGTTAAATGACTTGCTAAAATCAAATAGTAATACAAACTGAGGTGGTCTACCTCCACAGTATGGGCTTTAAACCACAGCTTCTAAAAATTAAGTTTCCTGGCACTCTGGTTAAGATACAAAATCAGAGTCGGTGGGAATAGTGTTTGAGATGTCTCCTGACACATGTTGAACAGCAGTACCCTTAACTACAAAAGTTACCCCTCAAGATGTAAGGTGAAGGAAATGTTTAGAGAAGTTAGAAAGCAAGTCCACGGAGCATTTCAACCAGCCTAAGTGACCCGAGGAACTCATGCTTGCAACACAAAGCCAGACAAGCTAAAATCAGTGTTTTGCTGACTTACAGATCTCTGATACGTGGGGGTCCTCTTTTGTTTTTTAGTCCCAGATGAGGTAGAAGATGAAGATAAAGGTAAGGAAAGTGAAGGAGGGGCTGCAGGAGGGGGATGAGGCGCTGATGACAGAGTAAATGTGTTCTCCATTTCAAATAGCTGTGATAATATAGCATGATGTTTATAACAATGATGATTATCACATATTTGACATTCAACCTTTATGCTTTTTAAAATTAGGCTTGTTTATAGCAAAATAATTCACTGAATCAAATTTCTGCTCCATAGGAAATACATCGCATTAACAACTCAAACTGAAATGTATGTTCAAAGCCCTTAAAACAATTCCTATTCCACATTATCTATAAATTTTAAAATATAAACAATCCCTGGTGGTTGCTGGATCGAGACTATTCAGCCCAATTTCATCCTAATGTCCAGTAAAGTTAAGTAGAATTCTCAACCACTGGGCTTCATAAAGTAGGGTATACAAAGATAATCCAATGTATAAAAATATTAGAACCAATTTTCTTGTGTGTAGAAATAAAAATCAGCCTTTATATTTTTACTTGTATTTACAGAGATGGCCTCGATGAGTTGGAATGTCAGATGAAAACATGTCTCATATTACACCAGGAATCTTCAGGAAAAAGTGAAGCCCTCACTCATTCACTGGCTCTCTGCATATTACAGTTTATGCCCAATTAAACTGATATACATATTTAGTTATCTAGCTCAAATGAACTAGGCTCACGAATAGACAAATGGTTGAAAAATATTTTTGCAAAACCTTAGCTGGAAGACAAGTCAAGCATAGGCAAAGAACATGGGAGCTAACACTTCTATTCCTAATACTAATTATTCAACCTCCTTATTATCAAAGAGATCTGAAAAGTGTAACAAAAATTAAGACTATGATATGAACTTGTATTAGTGGCAATGAACATATATCTAGGCGGGGCATGGTGGTACATGCCTGTTTGTAATCCTAGCACTCGGGAGGCTGAGGCAGGAGGATAGCTTCAAGTTCAAGGCCAGCCTGAGCTATATAGTGAGTTTAAGGCCAGATTGAACTCCATAGTGATACCCTGCTTCAAAAAACTAAGAGTGTATACATCATCCCTAAATACAGTAATTCATGACAGGGTAGCATTTTTTAAAAGATGAAGTATCCAGCCAGGCATGGTGGTGTGCACCTGCAATCTCAGTACTCTGTGAGCCTGAGGCAGAAAGATCTCAATTTTGAGGTCAGCCCAGGCAATTTAAAGATTTAGTGAGACCCTATCACCAAAAATTTTTTTTTGGAGGTAGGGTCGTGTCATGTAGTTCAGGCTGCCCCTGAACTCACTATGCAGCCCAGGCTAGCTTTGAACTTATGGAAATCCTCCGGTCTCTGCCTCTAGAGTGCTGAGATTACAGGTGTGTGCCACCATCCCTAGCTCTGTCTCGGAATTTAAAAAGGGCTGGGTATATAGCCAGGGCCCTGAATTCAACCCCCAGAACCACAAAACAATTAAAATTTTCTTAGCATCCAGAACACTATTCTAATGAAATGTTTCTGCACTTAACCATAATACTGCTTATTTCTCTGGGTGTCGTTTTTTTTTTTGGTGCCAGGAATTGAATTCAGGACCCTGTGCTTGCCAGGCAGGCGTGGCACCACTGAGCTACATCCCTAGTCTACCAATATGTTTTACAACGTAAACAAAGTAGCATAATTACACAATCTACAAATACACATATTGACTTTACACGGTCTTTGTTATTTTTGGCTGGTAATGGGGTTTGAACTCAGTCTTCACACTGAGCTACATCCCTAATCCTTCCTATTTTTTTTGAGACAGGGTTTTGATAAATTGCTAAAGACCCAGGCTTGGTATGAACTTGTGACCCTTCCATCTTGGCCTCCCAGTGCTGGGATTATAGGTGTGCCTCACCACACCCAGGTGACAACAGGTTTTCAATTAACAAGCAATAAAAACATAGGGCCATTATTCTAGATTACTGGCTTAGGTTATGATTTTCAAGTGTGCTTTTTTTCATACTCAGACTATAGTTCTTACTATACAAATAAGAAAACAATCTTTAGTGCAGGAATCAGACATCCCCCCAAAAAACCAACATTCTCAAGACTCCTTTCCTACCACACATCCCTGCAGGTAAAAGAACCCTATTTTACTTAGAAAGGGAAAATCAACCAGAATTAGGAAGGGATGAGAGCAAGTCTGTCTGTCTTTCTTTCTTTTGAGACAGGGTCTCATCATGCAGCCTTGAACTCATGGCCATCCTCCTGCTTCAGCCTCCCAAAGACCATTGGGACTACAGGCGTGCACCACGTCTTGCCCAGCAAATATTTCCTTGTAAGACTTGTTTCACCAACAAGGATAATGGAATTTAGGCTGGACTGCTCTTCACTGCTGAATACATACCAAAACAGAGATGAAAAGGAAATTTTCTCTTCTCCCAGAATCTTTGCTGACTTGAGCTACCTTTCCCATTTATCCTTTATCCATTTTGAAAACTTTCAGGGCTGGGGAATGTAGCTCACTGGTAGAGCTCTTGCCTAGCATGCATAAGGCCAAGATTGATCCCAACAACCCCCATCCCACCCCAAGACTTTTACATATGCCACTCAAACAACTATTTAGATGTGCTAACACTTCAAATAACTCCTAAAAATTTGGCTGAACTATATTTTATGCCATGAGAAATTATTTCTTTCCCAATGCCACCAAAAACCTTTTAAAAGTATCATTAAACAAAATGGAGGGCCGGGGATTCAGCTTAGTGGTTCCGGCACCTGCCTCACAAGCGCAAGGTCCCGAGTTCGATTCCCGGTACCAAAAAAACAAATAATGCTGTAAACAAACTGGAAATCATTATTTAAAAAAATGACATTAAAGTAGGGTAGGTGACCAATGGATAAAATAGCTCAATAGCAGATCCCTGTTCATAAAAATGTTCAGATAAAGACATTCAGTATAAGGGTTAGTGGTGGAAGAAGAAAACAGGAAGTAAAAATTATCTGATATTTAATAGGAGGATGGGGGTTTAGCTCAGCGGTGCTGCACCTACCTCAAAAGCGCAAAGTCCTGAGTTCAATCCCCAGTACCAAAAAAAAAAGTCATAGGAGAAAAGACTCCCAAAAATAACTGCTTGGCTCACAGTTATATAAACACATACTCAAAAGAATTAAATGCCTTAACAATTATCAAAAACAGAAGGGGCCAGGGATTTAGCTCAGTGGTTCCGCCGCCTGCCTCGAAACCACAAGGTCCTGAGTTCAACCCCCATTACCAAAAATAAATAAATAAAATAAAATCCTTTGCATTGAACAATCCTCAGCATTGAACAGATCACAATAGTGAAATACGGTTTTCTCCTTCTAGTATTTGAAAAATTAATCATTTGTTTCCAAATAAAAATTACAACCTGTTTTTAAAAATTCCCTTTGTTGGTTAACCTTGGGTTCCCCTTCGCCCCCCATTTTGGGTGTGCTACTAGGGATTGATCCCAGGATCTTCACAGTGAGCTAACATCCCTGGGATTCCAATTTGTAGAGATTAATTTTCAATTATTAGAGTTTGCATAGTTTTTCTCTCATGTTTTTGTTCTACCTTAATACTTGTCTCAGGACCTGTTGGGATGGTTAAACAAGTTGCTTCATACAAAAACCCTAGAATTAGTGCTTAGCACACAAGTACTCACATAATTACTTCTTAGATCTTTCAAAGCAGGCTGGGTGTGATGGCCCATGCCTGTGATCTCAGCAATCAGGAGGCTGAGGCAGGAAGACCATGAGGGGTTCAAAGCAGCCTAAATTGCATAGTAAGACCCTGTCTCAAAAAACCAAAACCAAAATAAAAAAAATAAAAACAAAATCAGTTTGAGCTGCACAAGGTGCACGCCTGTACTTCCAGAAGGCTAAGGTAAGAGGATTCTATGTTAAAGCACAGCCTGGGCAATTAAGTGATTTGTCAAGACTCTGTATCACAATAAAAAAGTAAAAAGGGATGGAGATGAAGCTCAATGTGAAGGCCCTGGGTTCAAGGTCTACTATTAAAGAAATAGCAGAACAGCTTTTTATGATCCTATTCCCCACAGATAAACATTGCTTACCATTTCATACTAGCATATTTTCAACTTCAGATTATAATCTAACAAGCACAATGTATTTCTACAATATATTTCTAATTTCAACAAGTTCCCACCTAAGGTTCTTTATTCTTGTGAACCAGAAAGGTTTTTAACTTGGACAACTGGTTAGATCAAATCCAGTCTCTCTAGCCTTGTCTTCACATTGAGTTGGTCACCAAGTCTTCATTTTTAACATTAGAAAACCTAGTATCTACCTGGTCTGCCATTTATTTATATACTAGATTTTCCTTACAGTCTATTCAAGCCTTCCCATTCTCAACCTACTCCTTAAATGAATATACTTATACTACTTTAAAATTGAAAGCCTAACGTAAACAAATCCTTGGATTCAATCCTCAGTACTACAAATAAAACCAAACCAAACCAAACCTACAATAACAAAAACTAAGCCAGGCATGGCGGCACATGCCTGTAATCCTAGCACCTGGGAAGCTGAGGAGGATCATCTCAAGTTCAAGGCCAGGGTGGGCTACACAGTGAGTTCAAGGCTAGTCTGCACCATAGAACAAGATTCTTTCTCAAAAAACCAAACAAACAAAACATCCAAAAAACAAAAACAGGTAAAAATCGATCTCTTTTGAAAAACAAAATCCACTATGCTCTTGTTTATAGCCATCTGATGGCTCCCTACAGAACAAAGCCAAATACTGTACTGGGTTCTTCAGAACCTGAGTCCAGCAAGCCTCCCCGTCTAGCTACTCTCCTCAACCCACAAGGCTGTTTTTCTAATCTGCTTAGAACTATTCAAGATATATACTATGTGTTTCCAGATTTCCCTGTCTGCTAATTATCTCCACACCTCTACTAGAAGATTCTCCCCCGTCTTAACAAAGTGCTACTAACCTTCAAATGTCCTTCCGAGGTAACTGCTCCTTCAGTCATATTCTTAGCACTTTACCAAAACCTTTATTTTACCCTTTATTAAATTGTGGTATTTTCTAATAAACTGCTCTAAACCCTAAGTCTCAATATTTTATTCATTATTGTTTTCTAATACCAGCAAGACCTAACAATATAGTAAGCACGTCAGCTACTCATAAATGTGCTAGTGACTGTACATAAGTACTGGATGTTGAAGAGGGTGGAAAAAAGGAAGCACAGGGCCAGGGATGTAGCTCAGTGGCACCAGACCTGCCTTGCAAGCACAAGGTCCTGAGTTCGATCCCTGGTAGCAAGAAAAAAAAAAGGAAGCAGAGATCATGAGTACCAATTATTACCTAGGTTTCAAAGATCCCTGTACAAAGATTGCAATGAACATCTTATTTGAAATTTTTTAGTACAGAGCACATCTCTAAGAGACCTATAAATCAAGGGACCTGCATGTATTAATATAATCTTGTGTGAAAAATCCTAGTTCTGGCTATATATATTGTTCTTTCTGACAAGAGACAATAAAGTAACGTTAATATTTGCATAGCAGAAGCCAGGTATGGTGGTGCAGGACTGTAATTCCAGCACTTAGGAGGTTGAAGCAGAAGCATCACAACCCTGGGCTTCATAGTGAGTTCAAGGCCAGTCTGAACTACCCAGCAAGACTGTCTCTAGAAAACAAAATAAAAACATAAAAATAAAATAATAAAATTTCATATTAGATAAGTGAGAACATAAAGTGATATTCTGGGTATCTTTAGATAAGAAATTTGGGTTTTATATTTGACCAAGCAGGAAATTCACAATTACAGAATTGATTCCCCCCCCCCCCATACTAGGGACTGAACCCAGCACCTTCACCTTGAGCTACATCCTCAACCTTTTACTATGTATTTTTTTTTTTGAGATAAGGTCTCAACAAATTATTAAGTTGCCCAGACTGGGCTTGAACTTGCAATCTTCCTGCCTCAGTCACCCACAGTGCTGGGATTATAGGCATGCACCATTAAACCTGGCTCAGAATTTTTTTGGTACCAGGGATCAAACTCGGGTCCTTGAGCTTGCGAGGCAGGCAGCGGAACCACTGAGCTAAATCCCTGACCTCAGAATTGATTCTTTTTTTTTTTGTACTGGGGATCAATTGATTCTTAATAAAACCACAAACCTACCTCGCAGTGATAATCAAATATTGCACTTTCAGTAGTATTAGCTGATTCTTCTTTTTCAGCACAAGTTTCAAAGGGCGAAAGTTAGTATTAAAAAAAAAAAAAAAAAAAGCGAGAGAAAATGCTCTACCAAGCTAATAAAGAATACAATTGCTGCTGCACCAAGCAATCTCACAGTACAGCACTGAAGAAAACAAAGACTACTAGCAGAATTGGGAAATGCTCTTTCAAAGCTGTTGAGTAGGCACAAACTTCTTGTTTCAGATCAAGTGTTGTGTCTTCAACTTAAGTGTACTCTTCTTTGGTCTTGTTGGTTGTTACGAGGTTTGTTCCTTGCCTGATCTGAACTTGAAGCAGCAGTTTCAGGTGGTAAAGTCTGTTCTGTTACACTTCATACTAGAGGAAAAAATGAAGATATTAAGTATAACATATACAAAACAATGAAGCACAGAGGGCGAAGAGTAGGACAAACTCATCACATTAACTCAGAGTCACTAGTGAAGGAATAGAGAAAACTTGGAAGTACTTATTTGATAATATCTGAGACTGCTCAAGTGATTGTTTTCTTTAGTATCACATATCCAAGACTTCAACCTATTTCAGAGTCCTTACTGACCTTCCACCCCCAATAAGCTGGAAGTTACTCAATATTCTATTCAGTAAAAGCATTTTATAAGCTTTATATCCAGCACTTCATTAGGTTTTGTGGGAAAGAAAAAAAAAAAAGACTTCCTCCCATCAGTTCACCATCTTGCTGAGAAGAGTTAAACTTGGAGGAAAAAAACCATACAAAATGCCAAAAATATGCTCAGCTACTATTTGAGTACCTATTATGTCACATACCAGAGTAAAACTACTTCTTTACTCACTTCTGTATGAGCATCAAAGAAACATGGTGGGTACAAGAAAAGATGTGTAATTTGAAATGAACCCGGAAAAATAGGCAGAATTCTAGGAAAAAAGAGAGTCCAGTATTCTAGCCATGAAATATCACATAAACCAAGCCAGAATATGCCACTAAATCCTAGGTTCCCTGAGAGTTGGGACCATAAATTATGATTTTTTTAAACCTAGCATCAAGTAGGTTTTTTTGCCTGAAAGACTATGGCAACAAGTGTGGGTTATTTCAGAAAAAATCAACAGGCTAGCCTGGCTAGAGCAGAGGTCTGGGCTTCAATGAAATAGGGTATGTAGCATGATGGACGTAGTACAGTCAGATTATGAAGCATTTCAATAGGAAACAGGCTTAGTTCTTGATGAAAGTGGTATTATGTCTTGAAATCCTATGGGAGAGGACCGTGAAAGAAACAAATCTCATTTAAGCTGTTGTAGTAAACAGATGAGAAACTGTAGAAGAGGAACATATTTGCAGAAAAAAAAAAAATCACAGAAATCTTGTTATTTATAAAATTATAAATGATTATTTTGCACCAGCTTAAAACAGTGCTCTTAATTGAAATGAGTTTTGGCCAGGTGTGGTGGTGCACACCTGTAATCCCAGCCCTGAATGCTGTTGAGTTCAAGGCCAGATAGGGCTATGCTGCCTGCGAAACCTTGTCTCAGTAAGCCAAACCAAACCACATCAAACCAGAGTTTTGTTTTAGATAGGAGTCTCATGATGTTGCCCTGACCTGTCTAGAACTCTTGGGCTCAAGTGATCCTCCCACAGCCTCAGCAGCCATGACAGGTATGCATCATGTACAGCAACTGAAATGATTCATATGGGGAGAAAAAGGCAGACATGCTGATAGATGGATAACATATTCATGTATAGCTGAAAGTGGCAGCACATGTCTGTAATCCTACTTGGGAGGCTGAGGCAGGAGGACCAGCCAAGAGTCTGAGGCCAGCCTGAAGTACAAAGTGAAACCCTGTCTCAAAACAAACAAACAAACAAACAAACTTCAGTGATATTTTCCAGCCAACATTCTAGGCAGGAGGTTCTTAATTCTGGCTAAACATCTAACTCACTCAGGCAACTTTCAAAAAAACAAAAAACTGCACAAAGTGCTGGGTGTGGTAGTATACGCCTGTCATCCCAGAACTGGCACTAGCCCACCAGAGGCAGGATCATTGGGAGTAAAAGCCAGCCTGGGCTACATAGTGAGTTGGAGGCCAGCCTGAACTATATAGTGAGACCTTGTCTCAAAACAAAACAAAACAAAACAAATCTGTAAAAGAGCATGAGTTCCACACAGAAATTCTAAATTTACCAAACTACCATAGGTGTCAGGCATTATGTCTCAAATTTCTGAGAAGCGAGCTCAACTTCATTGCTATGCCTGTTATCACATAACAGCAAAGGTGTCAGGCATTGGCAAATTTTCTTTCTTTTTTTTTTGAGACAGGGTCTCCCTATGTAGTTCAGGCTGGCCTCAAACTCACTATGTAGCCCAGGCTGGCCTTGAACTCACGTTGATCCTCCTGCCTCAGCCTCCCAAGTTCTGGGATTACAGGCATGTGCCACCATGCCTGGCTGGTAAGTTTTCTTTGTTCTCTATCAAAGATTTCAGACTTGCACTAAGGATTAAACCACTATTTAAAATACCTCTATTCTTTTTATTGTTTTTCAGTTCTTTTCCCAGATAGGTCTATTCCCTCCCCTAATCCTTAGCTTTTGGCATGTTCCTAAAGTCTATCATTCTTTGTTGCTATGGGTCTTCCCACAAAGGATATAATTTTGGCATCTTCAAGGTGACCAAAATCCCTTCTTGACCATTCCAGCACAGACTCATTACCTTAATTTCCACTGAAAGAACAGTATCCACTGAAAATATCTGCATTCTGGTATCAAATCATTCTGCATTTTTTGTAGGAGTAGTACTGGGGACAGAATCCAGGGCCTTCACACTGAGCCACATCCCAGCCCATTTTTAAATTTTGAGACAGGGTTTCATAAGTTGCCCAGGCTAGGCTCGAACTTTCAATCCTTCTGCCTCAGCCTCCTAGAGTGCTGGGATCACAGGCGTGTGTCACCATACACAGCTTGCTTCATATTTATATCTTCTTTTTCTAATTATGTCTCGAATTTCTGAGAAGCAAACTCAACTTCATCACTATGCCTGTTATTGCTTAACCCAGTGCTGCTGAACAACTACAGCAAAAATATACCAAAAAGATAGTTAATCCATAACGGGCAAAATGATACCATAGTTCAAGTGTAAACAGTTCTATCAACTTTAACTGTATGGAGTTTTAACTATTCAATCAAGAAATAACAGTCTTCGATCCCTGGTACCAAAAAAGAAAAAAAAAAGAAAAAGAAATAATAGTCTGTATAATAGTTTTATCTTAATTCCTTAGGTTTATTTATGGGTTGAATTCTGTCTTGTAGGGGGAAAACCCCCCCCAAATACCTCAAAATGTCAACTGTATTATAACCCAATAACTATATTATAACCTAAGGTATTGTGTTAACAATCATCAAACTTCCTATCCAATAACACAAATAAGATGCTTCTAAAATCTGGAGAACTGCAGGGCCAATCTTTTTTTTTTTTTTTTTAAAGAGTTTCACTATGTAGTTCAGGTTGGCTTCACACTCAGTGATCCTCCTGCTTCAGCCTCCAGAATGCTGGGATTACAGGCCACCGTTACCAGCGGTGGGGCCAATCTTGGGTATTAATGAGACCTATTAAGATCTATGAAAACTCAGGCCAGGGATTTAGCTCAGTGGTGCGCTGCCTGCTCACAAGCGCAAGGTCCTGAGTTTGATCCCCAGTACCAAAAAAGATCTATGGAACCTCAAGAAATTTACCAGAAGTCTTGAATTCAGAGTGACTGAATTAGTATCTTCATATCTACAAATTTACTAATAAAGCCGCTTCTCAAATTAATACTTGCTGAAGGATTTCAAGGTACTATATAGGTCAGGCACTTAAAAAACTGGTTATCTACTTATACCAACATTCATCCATGGGTACTGACAATTTCTTTTTCCTTCACCTCCTGAACACACAGTTAAGACTAGGGCACAATTTTAGCCTCCTTGATTGTTAAATAGTCAACTTCTTTTTCCTTTGCTCAATATGGAAACAGTATCATTATTAATAATCAATTACTACATCACTTTGTTTCAGG